CCGATGGCAGTGAGAGGTCATCTTCAAAGGAGAGATTCCAGAACTATTATGTCCGAAAGAGTGATTTTACAACTCCAATCTAGGATAAAGAAAGTCTCCTCTCAAAGGAGAGCCCATTTTTTATTTTGGTGAAAAAAGAATCCCCAAAACCTCAACTTGTCGATTATAGGTCTTCCACATGTAAGCTTGGGCCCCTTATTCGCTCTCTCTTATATGACACATCCCCATCTAACATTCATAACAACCAAAAATGTGAGCGATTCAATTCCTATCACAAATCCTAGCCCAAACATTCCAAACCTAAGCTAAACTTCCCCTAAAGATTGGGGATAGCAAAGGGGTCAGGTTGACCAGCCTGGGGTCGATGCCTGACAATTTTTGGACCCAGCGGATTGGATCTTGGTTCGGAAATAGGGACCCAACATTCAGTTTAGTTCTGGTCCACCAAACCCAGAACCGGGTGTTTTAAATGTATGTATTATATTATTTATATAATAAAAATATAATAAAATATAAAATATATATTTTATATCAAAACTAAACTTTTTGAATCAATATATAAACCCTAATTGTATTTATTGTCAATCAAGTAAAATACAAGATGAAAAATTCTCACCCATTGGATATATTGTTTTGGTTTTATAAAATAGAATGACCAAACTATAAGGGGTAAAACTATAAGCCCATTTTTTGTAATCTCACTGTAAATCTTTTGTAATCGGGTAGATCTATAAGCCCATTTTGTACAGGGTTGACTGACCTATTTTTTTTTTACTGAGAGTCCCGCCTAGTAGGGACTCTCGGATTATCAGCCATTAGATATATTGTTTTGGTTTTATAAAATAGAATGAACAAACTATAACGGGCAAAACTATAAACCCATTTTTTGTAATCTCACTGTAAATCTTTTGTAATCGGGTAGATCTATAAGCCCATTTTGTACAGGTTGACTGGCCTATTCTTGTTTTTACTGAGAGTCCCGCCTAGTACGGACTCTCGGATTAAACACTTTATGTAAAGGGTTTTTAATTCATTCAGAGCATGAATGTGTGTATCAAAGCTTAAGATTTTAGAGCGAGAAAAAGAGAGGTTAAAGAAAAGTTGCAGAGCTTCTGTGCACACATCATAGGGTTTAGAAAGAGAAAAACACCTGTTAGGACCTCTGAAGTTTTGGGCTTATTTGGTTTTGAGGCTCTATTAATATTTGTTGTTTCTTATCATCTTTATTCTCGTTCATAGGTTTTCTTACTCATCCTCCTACTAAAAAATTTAGTTAGCTTCTTTTAAGTGCTAATCTCTTCATCTTTGCTCTTAGGTCCTTGAACTTCTATACATTTCTCTTGTTATTTATAATATCACAGGCATCCTTCTATGTTTAGCAATTCTTTCTACTTCCATAAACTTTGGCTCTGAAATAATGTTTCCTCTCTTCATCTTCAGATTAAACCTAAATCCTTTAAAAACCATAGAATCCAACATAACATCCTCATGTCTTACTGAACCTGCTGAATTCCAGCAACTTAACCTTCTATTAAACCCTGAAATTCAAACCCAAAACTTTATTTAACCTCACCATTTCTAACCCCATAGACCTAGCCTAATCCCTAAACTTTACCTGAAAAACTCACCAAACTTCCTTTCCTTGCCGGAAATATGATGAAGATTGTGAGGCTGCCGTTAATGAGCTGTTTATATTGTTTGGCAAGGAAGGGAAGGTTGTCGGGCTATTGCTTGATTTGCACAAAAATCACACCAGCTATTGCTTTCCTTCCCCATAAATAACCACCAAATTTCACACTAGGAGGGGAGATAAATCCTTTCCTTTCACTAATCTCTGGCTTTGAATTTGCCCCCAACAAAAAATAGGAAATCTAGGAGGCATTTTTGCATATCAAAAAACACGAAAAGCCCTTGATTCTCTCATCAAACTCTAGAGAGAGAAAGAGACCTACTTTTCGGAATTGAAAACAGGGAACATAGAGACTAATAAAAAGAACCATACTAGCTTCCAGCTCTCACTCACAAGGCCCTGATTCACTCCTCTTGTTTCAAATGCTTCGGAAATGAATTAGGAGCACTCTCACACTCATCAAAATCAAATTTCACATGCCCATCTTCCCATTCCAAAATGAATCACCTCTCTCTATCCATCTTCTGACTCAAAATCCAGATAAATGAAATTACCTCTCCTAACAATCAAAATCTTTCATGATATGTTTCTTTTCTGAAAACACCTCTCTCTCTCTCTCTCTCTCTCTCTCTCTCTCTCTCTCTCTCTCTCTCTC